ATCATTGGGAGAAGGTTCTTGATCACTTACCTCTTTTGATGTATCACCATCTTCAATGGCCATGAGACATAAGTTGGCCACTTCCTCCGTTTCTGAGTCTTCACTCCCGGAGCCGTCGTTCTCCCAAGAGATGTAGGCACGTTGCTTCTTCGGTGCCCTCTTGTCCTTCTCGTTCTTGAGCTTCGGACACATTGGTTTGGTGTGTCCAATTTCACCACACCCATAGCATTTGGGTGGAGTTTTCTTCTTGGCTCCCTTCTTGAGCATCATCTTCTTGAATTTTCGGACAAAGAGTCCGAGGTCGGTGTCGTCGCTGTCATCATCTTCTTCATCAACGTTGTTGTGGGTTGATGTTGTTGCGGGTAGAGCAACAGACCTCTTGTTCCTCTCTTCAACCACCTTTGAGAGTTGGGTGGTTTCGTAGGTAATAAGATTACCTCGAAGAGCATCATAAGTCGTTGTTTGGAAGTCACGACCTTCTTCGATTGCGTCCACCTTTGAACGCCATTTGGGGGATAGGCTTCGTAGCACCTTTCTCACGAGCTCTCGGTCGGTGTAGGTCTTCCCGAGAAGATTGAGAGGATTAATGATGTTAGAGAACCTCTCAAAGATTTCCTCAATCTTCTCGTTTTCCTTCATTGAGAAGAGTTCGTACTCGTGAGTAAGATGGTCGATTTTGGCCTCCCGAACCTGCGCGGTTCCTTCGTAGGTGACCTCCAATTTCTCCCACATTTGTTTTGCGGTTTCACACCGCGAAATTTTGCGGTAGTCATCCGCATTAACACCGCAATAAATCATGTTTATTGCTTTTGCGTTGAGCTCCATCTTTTTGCAATCTTCGTCGTGGAACTCCTCTTCGGTTTTGGGAACGTTGACTTCACCGACTTTCTTCATCGGGACTCCGCAGCCGTTCTTCACAATCAACCATAGCTTGTAGTCGTTGGATTGGATAAAGATTCTCATCCTCACCTTCCAATACGAGTAGTTTGTTCCATCGAACAAAGGTGGCCTCGTGGTTGATTGTCCCTCGGTCACTCCTGCGTTGAACATTCTTGATGCCATTTGATCTTTTAGTTCCTGAAAAAATAACGTATTCGAAGAACTTCCTGCTCCGATACCAATTGTTAGACAAAAGTGCAACTCTAGAGGGGGGGGTGAATAGAGTTGTTTTCAAGAATGTACGTTTTTCGTAAAAAGTATCGCAGGAAAAAGTAAGGAGAGTAAGGGAAAGAAGAACACCGGGATTTATACTGGTTCACCACCTCGTGGCTAGTCCAGTCCTCCGAGAGACTCTCTCGAAAGTCCTACTAATCTTCAAGCTTCAACGGGTGCTTGAAAAACCGGTACAACTTGAGAACTTGAATCACACAAGCCTCACTTTCTTACAACAACAAGA